ATTGTTAATCCATAAATTTACCGCTGAGCCACTGATGCAATGATAAAGGAACTAAATGTTTGAAAAGTTGTAACTTAGAGAAGTGAAAGAAATAATGTTTTTGAGTAATTGAGAACCAAATATACAGATTATTATACAGCAACAGGAACCAGTAAAACAATGATAGCGAAAATATCATAAAGTAATAGAAGATATTAAGGACAACAATGATAGCGAAAATATCATAATGTGATAGAAAATATTAAGAACATTGACAGAGAAAATATCATGAAGTAATAGAAAATAGTAAGGGCAGTGACAGAGAAAATATCATAAAGTAATATAAAATATAAGGACATTGACAGAGAGAATATCATGAAGTAATAGAAAATAGTAAGGGCAGTGACAGAGAGAATATCATAAGGTAATAGAAAATAGTAAGGGCAGTGACAGAGAAAATATCATAAAGTAATATAAAATATAAGGACAGTGACGGAGAGAATATCATAAAGTAATAGAAAATAATAAAGACAGTGACAGAGAAAATATCATAAAGTAATATAAAATATAAAGACATTGACAGAGAGAATATCATGAAGTAATAGGAAATAATAAAGACAGTGACAGAGAAAATATCATAAAGTAATATAAAATATAAAGACATTGACAGAGAGAATATCATGAAGTAATAGGAAATAGTAAAGACAGTAACGGAGAAAATATCATAAAGTAATAGAAAATAATAAGGACATTGATAATATTATTTTAGTTCACTGAAAATTCGAGCAACAGCACGAATAGAGGGAATATTTGAAAGTAGAATAGAAGCAAGAAAACAAACAAGAAATAAAATAATATACAGTAATAAAGAAGAGCAAGTGAAGAAAATAAAATGTCTAAATAATTGGAAACGGGAGACGAAACGTTATTCAAACCGACGTGATGTTTGGCGGGATAATCAACTATAGCTATAATGCTAATAGAATGACAACAAGATGTGAAGTCGAATTTCACTGGATTTCACTATTTAAAAAACTTACAATTGTTACACAGAATAGCGAAAATCTTCATAAATGTAAATATGTTGATATATCTTAAAGAGAAACAATTAAACCCCAGAGAGAATAATAAAGAAAGGCAACGAGAAAAAAAACAAGCAACTGTTTTGATTAAAGCAGTAAAAAAACATAGATTTCAGAAGTATAAAAAAAGGAAATAAAAAAGTGTACAAGACCTTTTCACTGAAGTGGGAAATGAGAACTGGTAGAGATGTATCCAGAAAGAAGAATAAATAAATCTCGAAAAGATATTGATGAACGAGAGTGAGTGGTAGAGGATTTGATATTGATGAACTAGAGTGAGTAGTACAGGATTTGATATTGAAGAACGAGAGTGAGTGGTAGAGGATTTGATATTGATGAACTAGAGTGAGTAGTACAGGATTTGATATTGAAGAACGAGAGTGAGTGGTAGAGGATTTGATATTGATGAACTAGAGTGAGTGGTAGAGGATTTGATATTGATGAACTAGAGTGAGTGGTAGAGGATTTGATATTGATGAACGAGAGTGAGTGGTAGAG